GCTCTCTCTGCTCCCTGGTGCCCTGTCCTGAGCTGCTCTCCTCCTCCAGGCCCTGCCGCCATCTTGTTCTGCTCCCCTTGGGCCAGAGCCATGGAGTGGGCCACCAGGGACTGGACCTTCCAAACCATGAGTCCCCAATGAATCTTTCCCAGCTAAGTGGACTTTTCTCGGGTGTTTTGTCACAGTAATGGAAATCTGACTGACACAGCAGGTCTGTGGTGGGTAACTAGTGACCCCACCGCTCACGGAGCGGTGGGCAGGATGTCACTTTCTTTGTCGCAGCCACAGAAGGGGAAGGTCCCACAGCACGGCTGCAGCCACGGTTTCCAAATGGTGTGGAACACAGACAACTGTCGAGGGACAGGCGTCAGGGACCCGCGGTGCTCCTTTATGGCGGCCTCCATCTTCTTGATGACGGAGTCGAACAAGGCTTCATTGTCGGAGGTAAGCGGTTGGGACTCGGAAGGGTCTCTGGAGATGTCGAAGAGGAGCGGGGGGTCATGGTGGGTCACGTCCCCGGAACAGGAACACAGGGCGCTTCCGTAGCAGGCGCCGGATCCCTCGGGGTGGAAGTTGGGCGTCACATAGTGGGCCTTCCACACAGTACCGCCTGAAAAAGACACCTCCAGTGTGACATCGCGTCGGTGATGGGTTACAGGTGGCTTCTGGGAAAACATGAATCTCCATTTTTTCAATCTTTTCTTGGCGGGTTATAATTGTGAATCACCCTGGGGTGCGTTGATTCAGACTTGTACGTGAACCCAACATAATTTGGTGACTGTCATTGCCCGAGACCTCCCCTCTTCCCTCTCCCTGGGCCATTTCCTGAACTCTGCTGGTCTTTCTTCTGTTTTTATGAGATTCTCTCTTTTTTCCTAACTTCCACATACGTAAGAAAACATAAGACTCGCTGAGTCTGGGTTATTTCACTCAGCAGGATGGTCTCCAGTTCCATCCATTTTCTTGCAAATTCCATAATGTCATTTTTTATGGCTGCATAGTACTCCATTGTCCACATTCTCTTTAATCATCCATCTGCCGATGGACACCTGGGGGGCCCCTGTGCTTGGGCTACTGTGAACCATGCTGCTCTAAACATGGGTTTGCATATACCCAGGATCAACTAAAGTCCCGGGGCGGAGTCCGCCCTTCTTCCCTCCCTCCATCTCTCCGTCCTCCTTCCTTCCCAGGTTAGAAAGGCAGAGACCAGCCCTTCTCCCGCCTCCCCGCGTCCGCGGTCTCCGTACTCACAGTCCTTCTGGTGCCAGCGGACGGTGTGCAGGTAGGTGCCGCAGTAGTGGAAGAGGAACTCGTGGTCTGAGTGGGCCACCCTGCCCTCCAGGAGGGGCATGAGGTTCCGGCCGTCAATCACCCTTAGGAGAGAAGGGTTGGAAGAGATGCATCATGGAAATGTCCTGCAGCCCAGGAAAGGCTCCGAGCTGACCCCAGCCCCATTTCCATCGTTTACCACGCGTATAATTCAGTGTCTGCACCTTTTATTCATCCAGAGACGTACTGAGCAAGTGGAAGCTGCCTTTTAAAGGTGGTGGATGCTAAATGGAACGCCCAAGTCCCTTTCCTGACACGGGGCCCTCGCTCCCTGTGACCCTGCACATCTTAGACCTTCACGAGAATGACCCATCACACCTGACGCAGTGGCTCATCTGTACACTGATTCATTTATAGTGATCAGCATTTTCATAAATGATAGAGAACAGTTGAGAAATTCTATTCTACAGGGAATAACCTCAAGGAAAAAAAAATTCCGTACACATTCACTGCAGACGTGAACGATTCCCCAACGGATTTATTGTCGGTCCAATCTGCAGACGGAGGGGGAATCCACTGATAGTAAGGGACCTTGGTGACCTGGGAGCTAGGAAGGTTGTCAACGTGCATCAGGGTTGGATCCTAGCCCTGAGGGTGACCCAGCTCGTGCACATAAGGATATAAGTCCGATGAAAGGATCAACACAATGTGGGAATCTATGTAGTGGAGTATTACACAGCCATAAAGAAGGGTGGAAATAGGGTGTTTGCCCATCAATAGGGGAAGGGGAGAACATCACACTGAGTGAAATAAGCCAGTCTTTCTCGCATACGCAGAAGCTAAAGCAGCCTAAGGGGAAACTGTGTAAGTGGAAGGGAATTCTATAAAAATGGAGACGGGTAAGACAGTCATTTTTAGGAAAGCGGACAGTAAGACATGCTCCAAGAGACTGCACCACGTGCCCAGCAGGGAGGGAGCTGGGTCCCCACAGGAAGCCGTACCCCCTCACATGCCTGCAGAGATATCCCTCCCCGGGAGCAGGGTCTGTTTTCCTACCTGTCGTGGGGCAAGATCCCTCCCCCGACGTAAGACAGCGTTGGGAAAACGTCCATCAGACTCGTGGGCTCGTCGATCACCTTCCCGGCCTGCAGCACCGTCGGCCAGCGGAAGATCCCAGGCACGCGGATGCCCCCTTCCCACCCGGCCATGCCGCTGCCACCTGCCACCAAAGATGGGGGAGGAAGATGGTTCTCTAGGGAACAGAAAGACCAGTCCAGCCGGGCGCCGTGGCACACGCCTGTCCTCCCAGCAGCTGGGGAGGCTGAGGCTGGAGGATCGCCAGTTGGAGGCCAGCTTCAGCAATTTAGCAAGGCCGAGAGCAATACAAGAATCACAACAGTAATCAGAATAGGTGCAGATAGTTTCCCTGACTGTATACATACACACATATAGAGCCACAGAATGACATTTTGGTTTTAATTCATCGTATATAGTTGGTGCATCTGTGTGTGTGTGTGTGTGTGCATTGCTTAAAAAATGGGGGTGCACTCCTCCTGAGAAATGCATCGTAAGGCAATTTCATCTCTGTGTGAACACGGAGGGCTGTGCTCACACACACGGAGATGACTACGTGGATTAAATTAGATACACACCTATGTTTGGGGACCAGGGATTGATCCCAGGGGTGCTTAACCGCTGAGCTTCATCCCCAGCCCTTTTTATTTTTTTTATTGTAAGACAGAGTCTCATGGAGTGGCTGAGGCTGGCCTCTAACCTGCGATCCTCCTGCCTCAGCCTCCCGAGCCGCTGGGATGTCAGGGGTGCGTCACGGCGCCCAATTCAATGATGTGACACATGGAAACCCTGATACCCTACAGTTTTTCCGACTTGGTGTTTTCCAAGGTAAGAAGAAAAGAGCCAACGGCGAATGCCTTTCCCAAATTGTCTTTGTGCTGGTGTGGTTTAGCGATGCCCCAGGAGCAGCTGAGCTGCTGAATCAACTACCTCAGAGGGGGGTGGAAGGATCTGCTTCCCATGAAGGCCACTGGGCTATGTCTGGGGACACTTCCAGTTGTCATAGCTTGGAGTTATGCCAGAGCCCAGAGAGGCTGCTCCACCTCCTGCAGCGCACAGCACGGCCCACCCCAGAGCACTCCCAGCCCCAGAGGCCCCCAGTGCAGAGGAGACCTGCAGGACAGGGTCTCTGTCCATCATGTATCATCTGTCATCTACCAATTCTGCCTTATCTATCTATCTTGTGTCATCTACCTATTCTGTCTATCATCTATCTATCTATCATCTATCATCTATCCATCCTGTCTATGTATCTATCATTTATCTAACATCTACCTATCCTGTCTATCTATCTATCTCTCTGTCATCTACCCATCCTGTCTACCTACCTGTCAATCATCTATCTATCTCTCTGTCATCGACCCATCCTGTCTGTCCAGGTGGCTCTCACACCCTGGGTGGGGCTGCTCCTGGCTCCTGGTGTGTGGGGCCCAGAGAGGCTGCTCCAGCTCCTGCAGCGCACAGCACAGCCCACCCCA